CATGCGCTCCTCACTGAGAGAGTGAAAAAAAAATATATAAATATATATATAAAAATCGCTCGTCTCGCCAGACTGGTGAGTTAGGCTGCCAGTGAATGAATGCGACTGACTGATTAAGCGCGCGGCTGTTTTTTTTTTGAGAGAGGCTAGGTACCTATTCTAGTCGCGTCACCCTATCTTCGCCTTCGACTCTACGGCGTATCCTGTTGATGTTGGTGCAGGGTAAGCGGCAAGGGCAAGGGTACAGACAGGTACAGGTACAGGTAAGGGTAAGGGTGAGGAGGCGGCGTGCTGGTTGGGTGGGCGAAGCGAAGGGCCGATGGAATGTCTGTCAGCCGCAGGAGAAAAAAAAAGAAAAAAAAAAAGGCTTGCCACGAGATTCTTCGGAGGATATTAATAGTACAGTACAGGAGAGCAAGGGCTGCATCCGTTACTGGGGGCCCGGAAGCTGGGACTGCAGGACGGACGTACAGGACAGTAGGTACGTAGGACAAGGTCCCAGGAGATCCGGACTGGGACGCCCGGCGCCGGCGCGGTGCAGCCTACGTGCGTAAGTACAATCGAGATCTAAAGATAGAAAGAAGTATACGTGCGTAGTGAGTGATAAGCGTATGTATATGTATGTATGATCTTGAGAGCAGCTAGCTGCTTTTGGAGGAAATCACCCGCTCCCTCTCTACTTACCATGAAGTTTGCCGTTCCCTTCACTTATCTACTGTGAGTAGCAGGTACCACGGGGAAATGATTCACTTGCGGATTTACTGTATTTACTGCGCAGATCTCGCTTAGCCCGGGGGAACAAAAAGTTTAAAATAAAACAATTGCTGCTGCTGCTGCTGCTGCTGCTGCTGAGCCAGACCAGACCAGACCACACCAGACCCGGCCCATCTCCCATCTCCCATCTCCCATCTCTCGCTCCTTGGCCTATCAGAGAGACAGGCCGATAAGCTCCGTCCGCTCGGGCTTGGCCTTCTTTCTCTCCGAATCACACCTCCCCCTCCTCGCCCTCTCATCGATCGATCTTCTCATCTCAAACCCACTACTACAGTAACAAGCGCCTTTCAACGTCGACGACAGCGCGAGCGCGAGCACGAGCGCGAGCACCGGCAGAGCCAGCCGTCGCGCAGCTTACCAAATCTCCCACCCCGTCAGCACTACTGTCTCTCGCGCGTGTAGGTACCGGTACGTGACTCTCTTCCGGAGCAAGTCCGTCCTCGCTCGAGAGGGCGCTACAGCGACTGTACCATACGGTACCACACCTCCATTTCGTGACGATGCGCCCCCCCTCCCCCCCCCCCCACATCATAGCTCCGGGCCCAGTCATTCTCAAGCGCAGCAGAAGAGCAGAAGGACCGACAACCGTTGATCTTTTTCGATCCCCCGACTCGCTCGCTCGCTCCCCTCCTCCGCACCCTGTCTTGCCCCCCACGATCGACGAGACGTACCCAGGGGAGGGAGGGGGGATTGATTCCAAATCCCAGATCGGGTCCGGGCCTCGGTTAGGTAGTAACCCTCATACTACTTCGTACGTACGGTACGGTACGTCTTGTCGGCCGTTGGTTCTCGTGCGCTCTAGTCGATCCACCGCCCTGCTCGTGTATATGTGGTAGAAATGTACAATCGCGTTCGACTCGATTCGACTTCCAGCCGGCTATCAGGAGCAAGGGATCGTAGGTGGGTTGCATCCCATACTGGGTCTAGCCAGTGATCAATGGCAATGGCATGGTCCCTTGAGTCTTGACTCGTATGACCTCTAAGCAATCGATCGATCAATGAATGCTAAGGATCCTCGAGCTGTAGAAGATTGTCATTTTAATATAGCCCGATTTTACCAAGGGCCTTCGTCGAAAATATATCATTCCGACAGCCCTTCAAGGCGTTGAAGGTTATAGCCCGCCTACTCCTTTGAAAGCATAAACACCGACATTTTCTGCCGCCTACGTTCGTTGGCCCATGAGTTGATTGTGTATCTGGTAAGCGAATATGATATATTCTCGCAATCCCCCAATGTTTCAAACCCAGTGGGTATACATTCCAGAGCCTCGCCGGTCTCGACTTCTACAGCAGTGCTCTCCACCCACCCGTCGCAGGTTTCTTCAACCCCAAGTGCATCGTCAGCAAGCCCATGTGATCAACTCCCCAGAACCGGTCCGTCTCGCCCTGACTGTTCGTCGCCACGAAGTACGGCAGGCCAAAAGCCCCCTCGGTGACAGCTTGCTCCGAGTTCTTCGCCAGCAACGCTTTGCCCTCCTGGCCGGCCGTGGCCATCACTACAAGCACAAGCCACCATCGTCAGCAAGACTGGTCCCCCACACGGAACGCACTCGAACGGCGACAATAAAGAAAAAGTATCTGCTAGCAACCAACAACGTACCCTTCTCAGCCTCCTCTCCCCCAAACGTCTCGGCCAACACCTCGACCAGCACATCCCTCTCAAAGGTCTTCCTCTTGTCGACCCAGTAAGCTCTACACAGCGCCTCCAAGGCCTTGGCCAGGACATCCTGCCCTTCGTCCCCAGGGTGCAAGATGATGAGGGCACATAACGCTCTCATGATAGTCAGAGTCAGATGCGGGAATCCCTCGGGCGCCTCGTCCGCCATGGGGACGTTGAAGAGGCGGGCCCAGCGCTTGCGCTCGACGTTGATCCAGGCGTCCTTGTCTGTCGGGGCGTGTGTTAGCATAGAGGATACATAAATGGTTGTCAACGTATCGAGATGAAAGCGATATAATCAACCACTTACTTTTAATCGAGATGGGCGGCACGTTGTTGCACGCCTTCATGATCCCGCCCAGGAACACGGGGATATACGTAATCTCGCATTCCTTGAATACAGGATCATTCTATACATTCGCGTGTCGTCAGAGAGTTCACTCTATTATCATATGCAATGTATATACATATAGGGCAAGAGCAATGTCGTCGTGAACAGAGGAAAGGGGCTCCAAGATTATACGTTACGCACCCGCAAAACGTGATAGGCGATATACGCGAACGGCGACACGGTGTCGATATACAGCGTCAGTTTGGGCCGCGGCGCCATCGTGTCTGGTACCCCGATTGCTTGGCCGTGGAGGATATTGACGTAAGGAGATGGAGATTAGAAAAACATGTCGAGATGCAGGGGATGATGCAAAGAGAGATGCTTAAGTGGTGGCAGGCTAGCGAGCTTGATGTGCATCAGGATTCAGCGATGCCGAGGTCCGCGCGTCTCGGTTCATACGTTATGTAAGGTACGTACCTATGTATTGCGGGGGAGGGGATGGCTTCCCGCGTGCCGAACAACTTGGGAAGGTACGATTCAGGGGACTAGCGAGGGTGTGTACGTATAGTCAGGGCGGGAGCCTCACTACTTAATTAACACCCTTTTGCGTTATTTGTTTGGAGAAGGTAGGGAGGAGGCTTGCCTTGGGGGATCCAGCATGGTACCTTCAGAAAAATCGGCTTAAGAAGCGGCACATGAGTCATGCGTTCCGTTCGAAGCGAGTGGGAAGTAAAGCGAGCCGCTAGAGGGAGAAAGATAAGGCAGCAAAGGAGCAGGAATCGAAGGGGGGACAAGACCTCGAAAGAGAGGAGGACAAGAAGGTGGCACATTTTTTGAGAATGGCCAGCATTCTGTTCTGTTCAAGCGCTCAGCCCGTCTTATCATCAAAGAGGACCCCGAACAGTCTGACATGCTCTTCTCGCCGAGCGACCTTTCTTCCAGCAACCAAGGTAGAGAGCCTTGACACCAATGCCGTGAAGATGACCCTTCGGTATCTGAAGAGAGACGGAGATATGTAGGTCCGATATGATCTCCAAAGAGATACCTACCACGCGGCATGTACGGATGTGATACAATGCCAAAAGCATACTACAGCTCCAGAATTCCAGCCATCGTGCATGATTCGGGTCACAAGAAATTCTCCACAGGGTCTTGCAAAGCTTCCGTTCCTGTTATCAGAAAAGCCAAAGCCGGACAGCGGCAGAATAGGGATATCGGGGCCATGTGCTGGCACCCATACGTAGGCTCCAATCTCTGCGCTAAGCTTTTTCGTCGATGGGTCCAGGGAGGGGATTTAGCTTCCGCAAGCCTGTGTGGCATAGGACAGCGAGAGATCAAGTTCTTGTCAACAAAGGAGGCCGACCTGACCCCAACAGGGATGCACACATTGAAGCTCCCACGGATCCATGGGGCGCAGTCCCAGGTGCTGCCTGACAGTGGCCTGGATCGCGGCTCGGTGATCTCTAAGCTCCTGAGAGAACTGTCTCCTCGCTCCAGGATATCTCACGTCATTGAGGATATTGAACATCTTTCTGGCAGGCTGATTCGTAGGATATATTGGTTTCCCTTTGTCGAGCTCAGGAGTGGTTGGCATGGCTAGAGTTCCTCGCCGGTTGTCCCACGACTGTCGTCTGAAAGTATCGTAATATCGAGACCCTATCAAAGACGAAGAATTAGCCAGACTCCAAAACACATGGGCGAGATGTATCCTAGCATGGTACTTGCTGATTCGTAGACCAGCTGCTGCTCGCTTCAGTTAGTAGGAAACTAGGGTTAGGTATTGACACGAAGTGGGTTCATCACGATCGCCCATAGCTTTTGCTAATGGATCATGACGTCTGTTACCGTAGCCTTTTCTTTTGGAAACAGTCTCGCAGAGTGAAAATTTTATACTCGAGATTTCAACAGCTAGATAAGGTAAATAGATGGATGGACTGCTCATTGCCTAATAATCCACATGTATTCTATAGCCGTATATACTAGCTCAATAAATATTCGGATAAACACAATCAACTCAAAAAAAATCGGGACAGAAAAGGAGTAACTTTAGATAGTTCCGAAAGAGCTTTCGATTAAGTCAGGGTATCTTGTGCCAGTCTACCTATCTATCTATGTATCTACTAATTCCCTTCAAAACTCGCTCCTCCTCTGGCTCCAACACAGCCTCCAACTCCAAGTGATGCCTGTGTCCTGTGCTCCTGTTTTAAATCAAACAACTACTCCATTCCACATCGACCCCACGCGGAATCCAACTCTATGCCTTCCTTTGCTTATGCCCAACTTTGACAGCCTTCATATTCGGCAGAACGTGATTCTTCCCGGGCTCCCGAGACACCTCAATAACCACCATTCTGATGAAATCAGGACTCCCCCAATAACTCGAGTGCGCGCCCAGCATGTTCAGATACTGAATCTCGAGCGGGCCGCCTCCGGAACTCAAGAACCAGTCCACCTGTCCGCAGTCATTCAGCAGGAAGAATTTCTTCTCTGCGATCTCTTCCCGCGTAAAATCGTGGACTTCCATCTCCAGCTGTGAAGGCATACGTGGTAGGCATGGAGGGTTCGCCACCTGTCCTACGGCCAGATCGCAAGGGCCTGCAACGCCAGGTGTGACTGAACGCACGGCATTGCCGATGCTTGCGAAGAATCCTGTCGTTGCGCTCGGGACTTGGGCGTTCTTCAAGCTTGCAGAGAATTGGGGATCGATGGTGGCGTTAAGTCGATACGCAATAGGGTCATTGTAGTGCATAACGTTGTAGATATTGTCTACGGCTAGACAGCCCAGAGTTCCCTGCTCACCAGTAACCTTCTTGTCCATCTCGTCGGCGAGCTCAGCCCCTGGTTTACCCTGCGACCTGCGGGGTATCAAGCGCCCCTTGTCGAGAAGCAGGAAAAATCCTGAAGGGGAACCGACGAAGAATAAGTTTGTGGTCGAGAAGTCAAAATGCTTGATATTGATGTTCCTGCTGAGTAGGTCGACTTCTGGCACACAAGTAGGCTGCTTGCTCAATACTTCTAGGGCCATGACACTGCCCAGCGAGTGAGCAATGATGTGCACTCGCCCATTTGTGTGAAATTCGGGATTATTCTTGCACCAAAGCCTGTAGACCCGATTTGCTTCAGAGATGAGAGCCTGAATCATTTTCGGCTTATGGTGCGACATGTAGAATGGGATATCAAGCATGACATCCGAAATCATGTTGCGGACAGCTGGGATAGTGTTGGGTGTAATGTCCTTTAGAGAGAAATCGGAGTTTTGATCTTGATCGCTCTCCTTCATGGGACCACCATCTTCGAACGAGAGATTCGATCGCCAATTGACAGGCAACACCATGACACCTCCGAGGTCCTTGCGGAAAGTCCGGCGGACACCCTCATCGCTAGACTCGACATTCACTGATCGACGGAATGCATTTATGGCATGCGTGAAATGAAAGCTTTCCACACGCTCTGACAGCTTTTGCCCAATTCCATGAATAACAAGAATGAGATCTGTGACTTTTTGGGGTTCGTCTTGCGCTCTGCACGCTGGGCAAGAACTGCCTTTGTTGGCACCTGCATCACCAGCAACAGGGGCATGCTCCTCTGCTCTCCTTGCGGTACTCGTCTTCTTAGAAGGATGAAGCTTTTCCCAGAGTTTCCAGTCGAAGCCTCTTACAACATGGATTCCAACCCTCATGCCTCGTTTGATCTTTTGCAGCGGCTTCCGACCATAGTATGCTGACGGCTGCAGTGTAGGCTTCAGAATGAAGGCATTCTGGCTATCTTGGTAAATCACTTGAGAATTGGGATATCTCTTGACAACAGTCCTCGGCTCTGTCAGAGACGCACCAAGATCATCGGGATCTGTAGTTCCTTCGGCAGAAGCTTCTCCGTGGAAGCAGCGTGCAGCACAGTAGGGGTCCGCTGAAAGAGGATGTTCCTTGATATTATGGGACTTCCCTTTCTTCGGCATCTCTGCTGCCCATAAGGTATGCGCAATCTTCTCCTCACCAGCAGCACCAACTTCAACCGCACTGTTAATTTCATCCATCCAAGTTTGTGACCAAGGTCTAAGCTCTCGGTATCCCGTCTCAAGTTGATTTGCCACCACAGGGTCCACTGGGCACATGGTTTCCTTGTAAAACCAAGTGCCTCTTATGACTGCTGCAATGTCATGAACCGGTGACCAGTAGATGGGATGCATCTGCAAAGCCGGCAACTTGACAAGATGGAGCCTGGAAATGCCCACAGCGACATCCGTTTGGTCTTTAATTTGGTGTGACTTGCATCCATAGACTTCAACATCCTCTACTTCGACAGGTTCTTGGTCATTATATTCCTGAAGGTTTTCTGGGCGGCTGCTAGAAATTCCACTAAAATTCTGCTCTTGCATGGAAGAGCCCGCATCTTTTACCGTGGGCGATGAGAACTTCAGGAAAGGTAGCCCAGTTGTTCCGGTTCCTCCACTCAGTGTAGGAAGACTGCTAGAAAGGCCATCAGTCTCTCGTATTTCGTTTTCAAATTCCTTGCTCGTTCCAGGTAACTTGGATTTGGCCATTCTGAGCCCTGCTGCGGGAAGACTTCCGGACATTTCTGGCTTAGACTTTGCTTGAAACTTCGCATAACTTTCTCTAGCAGCATCTCTCTGTGCCTGTTCAACTTCCGAAGCATCATCTAGCCCAGCCTCAAGATCACCTGGGCATGGCGGATTCGCAAAAGCACCATCGAATGAGGAGCCATGAACACCAGACTTGGTTTCCCTACTGGGAGATGCACTTCTCCCCTTCTTATAATACCTCTTGTCCGTCCTGCTCTTTCCAGCCGAGAGTCCCAACCAAGCTTCTTCGAGAGCATTGTTGTCGCGGGCAGAGAATGGCCGAGGGGGGTGTTTTGTGACTTCGCCAGTCGGGACAGGGACGGCAGACAGAGGGTCATCGATAGGAAGAGGGGATGAATAGAAGAAATATGATCTCAGAGGTGGGACATCGTCGCCGCCGCTTAGCACATCGTTAGTTGCCGGGGCTAGATGGCAAGTAGGCCCGTAGGTATGTGCTCGAGACATTCTTGAGAACGGCTGTCAATCGAATTTGTGGATAGATCCGGGGAATAAGACTAAAATAGCTGCCAACGCTGCCAGCAGAGCAGAGTTGGTAGACACAGGATGGCTCGATTCGTAGCCGCAAAGTTGAAGGCCTTGGAATTATTGACAGATGGTGACTGGGAGTGGAGTTTAGCGGAGCAGGTGGAGGATCGAGATCGGCTGGGATGGTTTGAATGGAGACTGGGCTGGCCTAAATCAACGGCGCACACGAGTAAGCTAGAAAAACGCCGAAAGAGAAGTTGGGCCCCTTCGCATGTATCCGGGACTTGGACAGAGTGGGTTCGAGAGACGAGGGAAGACAACGAGACAACGAAGAGCACGGCAACGACAACAAGACAACGCATCGCCGGCAGCGCCTGGCTTCTGCAGTTGCCTTATGTTGTGGTTGTGCTTGAACTGTACTCGTGCCAGACATCTGGCCCGATGACGTTCCACCCGAAATCTCTTGGCATGGCCTTGGTGTTCCCGGGGAAAGAAATGCACAGACTGGAAAGATTGGCACGAAGCTTGAATATATAGGTACCTAACTCTAAATCACTCGACGGTTTCAAAGGCGATAGAGGAGATATTTCAGTCTAAATATGATGTTCCCACCATAAGATTAGGTTTGCACGGGTACGGAGAAGAGAGAATCAAATGATCTATTGTTCCATTTTTTAATGATCCTACCAGTGTCACTCTCCCGATGACGACAGTCCGCCAGAGAGCAATTCTAATAGCAGAAATTTTGATGATCACGAAACAACCCACGAAGACCAATGCCTTCTTCAATTGCGTCCGTACCACATGTGTTCAGCAAATTCGCGACTTGAGAGACGCAGCTGACGAATCAGCCAAGCCAGTGTAGCCCGATACGACAGCAGATTAATGAAGAAAAGATGAGCAAATGTGGTCTTGGGGCCAGTACCGGACAACAGAGACACACAATTTCTGTCCACTCGCGATCATTAAAGGAGCGAGAAATCGGTGTCTTCGTGTCAGTTGTAGCTTCAGCGAAGAAGACGAGCGCATAATTGGATAGAATGCGAACAGCAAATATACTCATACAAAGTTGGAGAGAGAGCGAAGCTAGCCGGTACATGTCTTGGTGAAAGGGACGATTTGATTATCGCGATTTCGTCTCATTAGGTTCCTTGTAGCAGTCGGGTACAAGTCGCATACCACCGTATGGGTCTGCGTCAGTGGAAGGGCCTCGGGATGACGTGCCTTTGGAAGAATGGCTAAGCCAAGTTGCAGCCCGACCTGGAGTAGCTGGAACTGAGCTATGACCCTGAGCACTCTTTCTCGCATCCTTTCTCTGCCTAGCAAGTCTCATCATCTCGTTGGAATTGGCTCTGATCTGCTGAAGTCTGAGCATAATGGACTCGGCACCACCAAGGAGCTCAAGAATCTGCTCGACGTCGAACAACAGCTTCAGAATGACGGTGTCGGCATCGCAGAAGGTGCGGATGGCCATCAAACTAGCAACCTGCTTCCAGTTGTACAGCATTGAGTTGGTTCGGACTTCGCTGCCAGCTCGCTCGCCGAAGAAACGGAAATTGTGCTGGTTAGCTGCAACCAAGTCGCGCTGAGTCGCCTGATCGTACATGAATTCAATCACGACATGACGGCCTCGACTCTTCCATGTGTCGACGGTCTTCTTGATCGAATCCACTGCAATGCGACCTTGACTGAACTGGGACATGAGGAAGGTGTTTGCCGTGTGGACAATCATAAGCTCCACCTCCATCAGTAGCCTAGCTTGTTCTGGGGGTCCGAGAGAGACGGAGAGGATGGACATCTTTGGGTTCTTATCGTTGCTGGCCCAAATGCCTCTACTGCTTGGACTGATATCTGCCTTCTCGGCCTATTTGGCAATTAGCGTTGATTGCAGAGCACTCTATCGTTCAGCAAACTTACAAACTCCCCTAACTTATGTCTGAGCTTTCCCATCATGCTTGGCTTATCCTTGTGCTCCGCGGCAGCTTTTTTGACTTGACGCTTGACATCTGCAATCTCATCAGGGGATCTGCCCAACCAACCATTTTCACCGAACATCTTCTTCATGGGCGAACGCGAACGCTTCTTGGGCGATTTTGATGGCGATTCGGAGCGGGATCTCGAAGGTGTCTCTGGTGAGAAGACAGCAGGCTCATCACGTTCGACAACATCGTGGAGAGCCTTTGATGGAGTCTTGCCGGAATGGCGACCTGAAGCCGACGCATGAGGGCCGGAGGTAGCTTCATTTCGAAGAGGTGAGTGGCGGTTGGATGCTGATGAGTGATGGTAACAGTCTTTTGTGTTGCTTTCATGACGAACGGGAGATTGGCGGCCGGATACCGAAGAGTAGTTGTTACCATCATTGGACTCGCTTTCACGACGGGTAGGAGATCGGCGGCCGGAGACAGAAGAATAGTGGTTGCCGTCATTTGACTCATTTGACTCCCTCTCACGTCGGAAAGGAGGCTGTGTTCGTGAGTTTGTAGTGTACGTCTGGGAACGTGGGTAGTCTACATGAGCTTCTTCATACGTGCGATTATCACGAGAAGGAGAAGGAGATCGACCGCGTAGAGCATAAGCAGTACGAGCCATATCTCCGCGGTAGTAATCAGGAATATCTGGGCTGGGGCCTCTGTAACGATGAGCCTCAAATAGAGAGGCGTTCAGGCTTGGAGAGGACTCGCTTCGGTGAAGTGTGTAGCTTGGCTTGGGTGGCATCAGTGGCTCGTTCTCTCGAAGGACAAACAGGTCGTTCCCCTCGGATCGAGAGTTCTTGATATGGCCTCGAGGACTTGGGCCAGGCGCAGGTATAGTAGGTGCGGCATAACCGTCCATGAAATCCGTAAATTGGGTCTGGCGCTGCTGGTTGTACGGCTCAGGCGTATCCGGCTCGAACTGGTATGGGTTTGGACGTGGAATCTTGGTGGGGTTGTTGTATCTGATGGAGAGGTTAGTGACGAGGTCGGTTTTCTTTTGGGGAAAAACTTGCGAGTGGGCGGAGGCCTTGCTGCCGGTCGAGACAGGGTGGGAACTCGCCATGTCTTCAGCACCGATTGGCACGAAGTTTCCGATGATTCCTGATGACTCGGAAAGGTACTGAGCGTTCTGACTCGAGCCAGTCGACCGCGCGGTGTTCAGAGGTGGAGACGCGTTGGGACGAGGATCACTTCTGTAAGTCGACGTCGTAGACCGGAAGGCAGAGGGGGTGTCGCTGTTCTTGCGCCGATGAGTGTACTGACGGGTGGGAGACGCGCTCGACTCTTGGAAGGCGCGGACGCTATCTCTGCGCGGTGGGTAGACTGGGGTGCTCGATGCGACGCTGCTGCTCAGGACTTGATGGCTCGAAGGTTTGCGAATTTGCGGTTGTTGGGTACGTGTCTGAATTGGCGGACGAGCAGAATTTTGAGCGTGGTCAGTGGAGTACATCCGGCCCAAATCGGTAGACGAGCGCTTCCTATTGTTGCGAGTGCTATTGTCGTGACTCGATGCTTGATTCGTCACGCCGGAGCTGGTGAACAGCTTATCGAACGTGCGAAAGTCCTCGCTGTCGTCGTCGAATGCCATAGATTGTGACTTGGGTTGGGTCGGAAGCACAGGGCGAGTAGAGTTGGCAGAATTTCTTCTCGCGGTTGGGGATGCGTAAATTGCTGGTGGTGCGGTTTTGAGAAGCGCGTGGGAACTCGGGTTCGCTCCGCGATCTTTTCGGCTCGCCATACGGTATTTTCCCCGGCATGGGGCTTTGCAGACTTTGGGCTCTAAGATATGAAATTTATCCTTGTCTACGTGACCGGTCTTTCCAGGCTCCGAATTACTTCTCAGTCGAGGATCTTCCAGCGGTTTTTCGGTCTGTTGTGAGTTCTTGGTAAATTGTCCTTCCGGCTCAGGGTCGTTCTTCCAGTTGAACTCCAATCCGCTATCATAGAACAGCATTGGGTGCAGAGGAGAGATGTAACGTGAAAGGTAATGCTCAAAAAGTTTTTGATGGGCCATACTGCTATTGTCCCCAAGTTCGCTCTCAACCTTCTGAGATTCGCATTTCTCGCGGGCAAGCTGCCATAGCTGTCTTAGTATCCGGACATCCTCCTCGTCCACACTGCTTTGACGGGGGCCCTCGTAAATACCCATCGGTAGAGCCTCGCCTCTCGGAACCAAATCAAACTTCCTCGCAAAGTTTGCATTGGGTATTCCGATCTCTTCAGGCCAATGCATCTTCTGTAGGTGCTCTTCGAAATCGAATGTGGAGATTGGCTCATTTTGGAGCATCTTCTTCATCAATCTCCCAAAGTTCTTCTCCAGACCCTGCTGCTCCAGCAGCTCCGCAGGAGAACTTGCAATGGTGTCAGATAGGGCCGCATGCTTTCTACCAAACTTTCTGAAAATGTCGAAGATGCAATCTGAACAAAGCACATTCTCACGCTTTACTGGCTCTTGCGCCACCTCGTGCTTGTGCTTCGCATGAGGGCAGAACTTTGCGCCGAGAAGAATACCGCCTCGTCCAAATTTCGGATCCAAGAGCTTTTCTCGATATTCTGACGGCGTTTGTACTATTGTACATTAGATTATCACTGCCAGCTGTGTAGCTCATGCCAAACAATGATACATTTGCGAGCAGAAAGAGACGGAGTGTCATCTGGACTTACATCTCCAAATCCTAATTCGACTTCTTGTTGAAACAAACCAGGCGTGATCAATGATATAGTCCGTGAGGCCAGCGTATTCAGGACAGGGGAGCGAGCCCGAACGATTCCTTCCCCGCATACCAATGCTTTGCGAACGAGATTTCTGAAGCTTCTCAGTTGGTATGATTGGACCTGGAAATGTCAGTCACTTTCGAAGCATTATCTGATATAACCCATACCTTGAATCGTTCGGGTGTGTGGCACGTGTGGGAGTTGCAAGTCGTCCTGTAAAATGCATTAATAAGCAAGCATTCTTGAATACGATTGGTATGGTGGAGTGGAAAAGAAACTTACAAAACGGTGTCGATGCTGGTGCTTCCAACGCTGGAAAAGAGACTCAGGAAATGGAAGAATACCTTCAACCTCGATAAGTTCCTCTAGAACGCCGAAAGAGAGGTCCCCATTCTCATCTCCAAAAGCGGTTTCGAGGTCAGCATGTATCAATTTCAAGCCATCATCATACTCAAAGTTCCGGGGAACCCAGCTGAAATTTCTGATAATATATCGTTTGCACTCTGTCGCGTTTTAGCTCAGCGGGAAGAATGGGCTCAAGGAGACTCACTCTCTTCGTCCCATCCAGGCCGTGATTTTGAAGTCGATCTGTCGAATCTTGGGATGAATGGCAATGGCTTATCCCGATCTGGGGACATTGGTGATGCCATCTCAAGGCAAAAAATGTTCTCGAAAACAGCGATGGTTCAAAGCTCGAAGAACATGCGGTTGAGGGAACAGAGTTTGCTCAGGCTGATTCAAAGCCAAGATGAAAGGGTGGAGTTCGACGAGGACGAACGATTTGATAGAGATCGATATCGGTAACGATAGTAGCTTGGGTAAGCGAGCGGTGTTGTCAATCTAGTCGATGTTTTGGGCGGAGGAGTCATACTATCGATGGGGGTGAACCAGAAAAGAAAATTACAGACATGGCGGAGAAGCTCATCGTCGCTGCAAAACATGACGAAGACAAAAGATCAGCTCAATTTCGATTCTCGGAAAACAGCTACACAGGAGATAGCGCCTCTTGATATACACATGCCGTCAAGCAGGTTGAGTTGAGCTCACCACCTTGATCATGGATGTAGCACCACTACGGGACGAATTTCAATCTGTCAACTCTTCAATCAGTCATCGTAATCAATATCATGGGTGTCATTGTGCTATGTTTCTTCTGTTATTGACTTCAACAATCACCGCTCCCACTCGTTTAGATGCCATGATTTCCTCCATCTCCTCTCATTAACTGCCGAGCCGTATAATTGATCTTCAGACGGTCGCGCTCTTGGGCATGAAAGGGGCTTGTGAGGTGGAGAGGATAGGGTCTGTCTCGGCCGGCTTCATTGATTACTATTTATGTTCTGTATAGACGTGGCGGGGATATTTTGCGACCTGGCAATATGAGATGAAGCCATGGTACGTATGAAGAAGGATGGATCATTTGCATGTTGGCAGAGCTGATTGAAGAGTGAAGAGTGAAGATTGAAGAGTGAAGAGTGAAGAGTGAAGAGTGAACAATGCAGAGTGAAGATTGATGTTGATGTTGATGTTGACAAAATACGGTGGACGACAGTGCCCTCAAGCCAACCTTGCTACTTCGTACTACAGTCACTACCGAGATCTGGGCCGATCGCCATCCCAGCAAACCCACCAGTAATTCCTGGACGGCCATTGGGCCGCCGCCGACCACGCGGCCCCGCAAAGCCTGGGCACTTTGCGTCACGACAAAATTCAAAGTGTAGTACTGTACTGTACCTAGTACCTACTACGTAGTTGTATCAACAGCCGCGCGAGTTATCCGAAGTCCCGGTCAAGATGCCAGACTTTCCCGAGATGCAGCAACAAATTGGCTCCCGGTGTATTTGCCGTCAGAGGACCCGGGTCTCCTCTATGATCATGACTACGGAAAATGCTACTTAATCCCCCCCTTTCCCCCATCTCTCGTCTTCCATTTCAAGTTTTGCATTGTTTGGTAACCGTCATATATACCACGTCTTCCAATCTTGCCATCTTCTCACCTTCTCATCTTCTCATCTTCTCATCTCCCATCTCCCATCTCCCATCTTTCATCTCCCATCTTTCATCTTTCCATCTTTGCATCTTTGCATCTCAAGCTCTCGCTTGCCGTCCTTATCACCTCACCCATCTAGCGGTATACATACATAAATAAACACGTGCACTCGGCCATGGACGCGAGTTTCACTCCTCGGGAAACGGTCCGCAAGGCTCAAGGCTCCGATGAGTATGACATCGTCATCGTTGGTGCTGGGCCGGTAGGCCTCTTGCTCTCAACATGTTTGGCACGGTGGGGTTACAAGATCAAACATATCGACAATCGGCCGGAGCCTACAAAGACCGGTCGAGCAGATGGAATCCAACCTCGCTCCCTGGACCTGTTGCGCAATATGGGCCTGAAGCCGGCCATTATGGCCTATGAACCCGCCAAAGTTTACGAAGTGGCCTTCTGGGATCCCAGTTCGAGTGGGAAAGGTATCCATAGAACGGGCACGTGGGCTAGTTGTCCGAGCTTCATTGACGCCAGATACCCCTTTACCACTCTTCTCCACCAGGGCATGATCGAGCGAGTCTTCATATCGGATCTGGAAAAGAATGGAGTGGAGATTCAAAGGCCCTGGACTATCAAGAGCTTCAGATCAGACGAAGCGAAAAACCCGGAATACCCTGTCGAGGTGGATCTAGAACATGTTGACGGGAAGGAAAAGGAGACTGTGAAGGCGAAGTACCTTTTCAGTGGTGAAGGTGCTCGTTCTTCCGTGCGAGAACAACTGAAGATTGGAATCAAGCACAAGGATCCAATTGCGCACGTGTGGGGAGTGATGGATGGTGTTGTGAAGACGGATTTTCCCGACATCAAGGTAATCGACACTTAGAGAGGCCCTTAACTAGTGACTAACAACTAATAGATGAAATGCACAATCCACTCGGATCATGGTTCGATAATGGTCATTCCTCGAGAGGATAACATGGTCCGCCTATACATCCAAATCGCCTCTTCAACCGACAAAGACTGGAACCCCAGGAAATCCGCAACCGAGGAAGAGGTGCAAAGTTCTGCCAAGCGCATTCTTGAGCCTTTCAAGATAGAATGGGAGCGAGTAGAATGGTACTCCGTGTATCCAATTGGACAGGGAATTGCGGAAAAATACACACTTGATCACCGGGTGTTTATGGGAGGTGATGCCTGCCACACACACAGTGTAAGAAACCCTCCCTCCAAGTTTTATGGTTGTGTGCTCATCGGATGCAGCCCAAAGCTGGTCAGGGTATGAACACCGCGTTCCTCGATGCACTCAACCTGGCCTGGAAGATCCACCACGTAGAAGCGGGATTTGCAGAACGTTCTCTTCTCCACTCCTACGAATCCGAGAGAAAGCTCATTGCAGAAAATCTCTTGAATTTCGATGCTAAGTACGCAGCGTTGTTCTCTCAAAAAGCTCCTGCAGCGAAAGACGTTGCAGCCGCTACAGAATCCGCAGGCCCTGGCGAGGAAAACGAGAACCAGTTCATTAAGACGTTCAAGGAATCCTGCGAGTTCACAAGTGGTTACGGTGTAGCCTACAACCCAAACTCGCTCAACTGGGACACCTCGCACCCAGCCCAGTCAAGCCTCATCAACCCCAAGGGCAACAAGAACCGCACCGGTCGTATCCTTATCAACTCAAATGTCACCCGGGTCGTCGACGCTAATGTGGTACACCTTGAGCAAGTAATACCAGTCAACGGTTCCTTCAGAGTTTACGTCTTTGCCGGCAAGCCATCAACCACCAAGAAGGCCCTCCAAGACTTTGCCCAGGGTCTGACTAAGAAGAATTCTTTCTTGAGTACCTACCTGCGGAGTGATATCGACAAAGTCTCACACCACGAGCAACATAATCCACACAGCCACTTCTTCACTTTCTGCACTATCTTCGCGAGCAAGCGTAGCAGCATCGAGATATCCAGAGACGTCCCGGAGGTGCTGGCAAGGTACAGAGATCATGTCTACGCAGACGATATCTGGGACCAGAGAGTTCCTGACGCCAAGGCTTCCGCGCATGCTAAGATGGGGTTGGATGAGGAGAAGGGAGGCGTTATTGTTGTGAGACCTGATGGGTATGTTGGGATCGTCACCGCCTTGTCTGAGGGGAGCGGGACCGTCGATGCGCTGAACCAGTACTTCTCGGCGTTCTGTTCGAAGCCGTTGGGCGAGACGCGAGCGCAATTGTAATTATGTCCAATTCGTAGCCAATATATAGAGAGCCATGTATTAGAGGTAGACAGTATAATTCATTACATTATCTGCCAGTTCTCTATTAAACGAGTGGGCTTCTCTTGGAGGTACCGAGCGCGAGCAGTCTGAAGGTCTTCTTCCGTGAGGTGGAGGGTCAATCAAGTAGTACCAGGAACAGGTGGTGAACGTTGTTGTCGTAAAAATAAGGACAGGGGAAAATGATTATGAAATTAATAAGTAATCGGTATAAAAATTTCTTTCAGAGACTCAAGAATCTCTTTTGTTTGTTGAGTCTTCTCGAGAAACGAGTTTTGAAACATGATGAATGCTTGCTTCTCCATCTCGTTGGTAATCTGATTTGATTGGACGGCTTCTCTCTTTGTTAGCGCCAGCCCCATTCCCCGCCGCCGCGAGCAGCGAGTTCCTCTGATCTGCAACCAGCGACCACAAACCCTCCAAATACCCAAACCTCTACTCAACCATTGATGCACCACTGCAACATCCACAATGGCGAGCATTAAGAGGAAAGCCTCGGAAGAGATTAATCGCTGCTCGGTCACGTACATCGAGGTAAAAAAGCCGCACTCGCCCCAGCGTTTCGAATTGCGCAGCTAACAAGATCCCAGCCCGTTCAAGTACAACAACCTACCACGAATAACAGCCCCGGCGCACTCAGCAGACTCTGGAGCTGGACCTTGGGCCTGTTTACTACCATCTGCGCTGTCGTGACATATACCAACATGGGCTACAAGTTGGAAGATGGTAAGGAGTTCACCTTTGGGACAAATGGAAGGTCTGCGCTAATACGAAGTTAGTCGTAGCGGAGGACCATATTCAGAAATCTACAGAGAGATCCGATGGAAACATCACCGAGAAGCGCCTGAAGACGCGTAGATCGAAATCCCATCCCGAACTACAAGGATGCACGACCGGCCCTATTAATCTCGAAGGCTGCCATAGCGAGATCGAGATTAAACAGCGCGTCGATTCATATTGGACTCCTCCTCCTCTCGGATTTAATAAAACCAAGATGAATAAGTCAGCAGCCCGGCGACCTCGGACCCCAACAGATTCGAGCCCAGGATCCTCGGGGCTGGATATACCCTTCGAGAAAATAAATCTGCATCACCCAGAAAACACACTACCAACTCCTAATCCATCACCATCCGCTCAAGGCTCTGCAGAAGAAGGCAAGCGTGGGATATCAGCAGAGGGCGCGGCCCAAAATACCGCAGACATCACACCCCTACCCCAATCAACCGTACGAAAATCGAAATCACAAGGAAGCCTAGTTGATCGTCTTAGAGACATTCTTGTCGAGGAGGAGGAGGACGAACCAATATTCCAGGCCTCCACTTACAAGAAGGTAGAGCTCAAGGTTTTGAGAGAAGAGCGCGAGAAGAAGAGAAAGGATGCTGCAAGGAAAGCAGCGAAAGAGCGCCGACTGCGACGCCAAAACCCTTTGAAACCACTTATTGCACCTCTGGGTCCCAAATGGGAGGATATGGTCAATGAGGTCATATACTCGAATGACACTGGCCGGGCGTTCACCACATCCAGAGAGGGGAATCCGTTGAGGAAACACGATTTCATGACACTGCTTGGTAATTGTGAATGGCTAAATGACGAGATAATCAATACGTACGTCGAGTGGGTCGCGGATGCAGCAAATGCAGCAGCCATTGCCGAAGATGAAGCAAATGGAGAGCCTGCAAGTACGGTGCCAAAGGTCTTCGCCCACAACAGCTTCTTCTACAAGACGCTCGAGGAAAAAGGACCTGCACAATCCGATAGGCTCATGAAGCGTAAGAAGATACCAGGAGTATCGCTTTTGGAGGTTGAAACGGTTCTTATTCCAATCAACAAGGGATCGCATTGGACCCTAGGAATTGTTCGTCCAGTGGCAAGGACGATTGAGTATCTTGACAGCATGGGTGGTAAGGGACCAAACATCATTCAGCATCTACAAGGCTGGGTAAAGCATATGCTGGGAAAAAAATACGTGAGAAGCGAGTGGAAGACGCCCAGGACATCATGCGCTTATCAGTCAAATGGCTTTGACTGTGGGGTCTTTTTATGCACGAACGCTTTCTGCGTCGCACTGGGACTGAACCCAAACTGCTATCGGGAAACAGACCTGGTACAGCAACGAAAGAACATCGCGGCGGTACTGTTGAACCAGGGCTTCAAGGGGGAGTTTTCATGGAACTCGGAAGGATTTTTGTCTTGAGTTTTTTTTTTGGCACCACCGGCGTTTGTGCATTCGGCGCATTGAAGGACGGAAATACCCATTTGTTTTGTCTACATCAACAGGAAGAGTTGTCGGAGCATCCGGCATATCGTCAAAAGACGAATTCGGGCAGGGAGTCAGCGACCTTGAAGGGTCGTGGCGCACGATACTTGATTTGAAGCATGCATGGGTTCGGAGTCGATTTGAAGCAGGCACCTTGGTGTGAGAGCACTGGTGGATTGTAAGAAAGAACGAAAACTCACCGTAGCAATAAAATAAAAAGGTCCGTGATTACTGGGTGACTCGCACTGAAGCCCAGGCTATGCCTGAGTCAAAACGTTGTACGGATGAAAGTGTGGGGATGTGGGGAGTCTGTGCTATGCCCGCCCTGAACATCCAGACCTGACGTCTCTGGGAAGTATCCCTTCCAGATCTTTGCTTCTTTCCTTCCCCTTCCCTTCCATGCATGAGCCCGTGCGACCCAAAATATATTTAATCCTTTCATCTCATATACTCTCTTGGATCCGAGCTGTCCTCCGATCCGCATGATTGCTAGAGCGAGAACTACACCAGGGCTATGGCCAACAAGAAGGCGCGACAGAGGATCAGTTATGGTACGTCGGCTCCAGCCTCCTGTAGATGCGATGCGCGGGAAACAAGGCGAGTCGAATTGCACTGCGCGGTGCTGTGCTGACTGAAACTACCTTACCCTATGGATAGTCCTGCCACTTGCCAATTCGCCTGGCGGCCACAGGCTGGGAGTAAACGGCCTTGCTATCGATCGCGATCAATCGATCCTGTAAGTCTGCGAAGATGCCGAAGATGAAGGGAAGGAACGAAGAAAGCTAAACAAACGTGCAGCTATTCTGGGGGACGAGATGGTGCGATATGCGCCTGGAACTTGAACCTGGATTTGAAGACCGCTCTCCCCTTCGATTCGCCGGACGACCCGTCCGAGACGAGCTCGGATACGCAAACCTCGACGACCTTCCGCGCGCAGACCCAGGCTCATACGCATTGGGTCAATGATATAGTGCTCGCGCAGAATAATACGGCGCTGGTATCGGCGTCGTCGGATCTGACTGTAAGAGTATGGCGACCGCTGTCGAATGAGTCGGAGGCGCCGCAGACGATCGGGCAGCATGCCGACTACGTGAAGCGTGTTGCGACGCCGAGTTCTCACGCAGACTGGATTGCGTCGGGAGGCCTCGACCGGAAGATATGTCTCTGGGATCTCAGTGGTGCCGGCAAGAAGCTTGAGATTGCGGTTGGCGATGAGGAGACGAGCGAGAAAGGCTCGGTTTATGCGCTGAGTGTTAGCCGCAGCATACTTGCGAGTGGGGGACCAGAATCTATTGTTCGACTATGGGATCCGAGGACAGGCAAGAGAGTCACGAAGTTCGTCGGGCATACGGACAATATCAGGGATATTCTTATAAACGAGAGCGGCGACACGATCATGACTGCCAGTTCGGATCAGACTGTTAAGGTATGGAGTGTTACGGCTGGTCGTTGCATGCATACTTTGACGATGCACAATGATAGTGTCTGGAGCTTGTTCTCGGATGATCCAGATCTGGGTGTCTTCTACAGCAGCGACCGCTCTGGCTTGGTTGTGAAGACCGATGTTAGAGGTACTATGGGAGAAATGGACGATGGTCTGTCTCTGGCTATTACGCAAGAGAATGAGGGAGTAACCAAGGTTATTGCTTGCGGAAATCATATCTGGACTGCAACATCCAGTTCTTCGATTAACAGATGGCCAAACGTCGATACTGGGTCAGACATCCAGCTCCCAGAAGCCTTCCAACGACATAGAACTTCTAGTGTAGCATCCCGAACGAGGCAGATATTCCCAACCCCTGCCGACGGTGGTGATCCGAAGAAGGAGATACCTGCTCAGTCGATTCTCAGGATATCCAATACGGCCAGCTTTCCCGCCGCGGCGATCAGAGACTCGGATGCTGCAACCACCATATCTGCATTAAGCAGCGTACGCAAAGATTCAGATATTATCGTCGATCCTGATATTGGTGTGATTGTGCCGATACATGCTTTGCCTGAAGAGACTATTGAGGGCCAGCATGGGCTGGTCAAGCACAAACTCCTGAATGATCGTCGGCGTGCTTTGACACTTGACACAGCAGGCGATGTACTGCTATGGGATTTGTTACAGGTATTTTGAGCCGCTGCAAGTCTCCAATGGATGCTAACCATCGTGGCAGTGTATTCCGATTCAATCCTTCGGGAAGAGGCATCTGGAAGACGTTGAACCCGAGGTCAACACTATGGAAGCGGTTGCTCCTTGGTGCTCGATTGATACCAGGACAGGACGCCTTGCTGTTGTTCTGGAAGAGTATAACTGCTTCGATGCTGAGATGTACGCCGACGAGCTTCAATTGGATGAACCGGTAGAGTTCAGAGAAGATCAAAGGAGTCAGTTTCCCAGCGGCCCTGACCATCAATGAATCAACTTTACTCACAAATCTATAGTCAACCTCGGAAAGTGGATCCTTCGTCACATTTTCTCTAATTTTATTGACGAGATGATCAAAAGAGATGAAGCTTTCCGGAGAGAACTCAACAAGAAGGTGATGAAGAGCGGCCCAAGAGCCACAGCGCCGACACAGATTCAAATCCCAGCGGCAAGAAGTTGGACAGATAGCTCTCCTACAACGCCTAAAGCCAATGGAATCCCATACCCAATGACTCCGGGTATGGGCATCGGTGTGATTACACCTGGTCTGAATTATCTTCCTGGTGTGCCTGAAGACGGCGCCCCTTTGGACAAACGAGAGTCGCAAGCTAGCCGTTCCACCACTGAAAAGAGTGGTGATTACTTTTCCAACGTGCCCCTGCCCTCCGAAGCCGGCTTTAAGCCTGCAACGGAGACCCAGCCTGAAGATAAAACACCTAAATCGCCCATGGATACCGAGAAAGACCCCAGCGGTAAAGATGGCAATACGCTGTTTGGTAAGAAATTCCGTATGGGCATGGGTAGCATGTCATTTGGAAGCAAGAAATCGGCACGATCGACGTCGATTGTAGCCACGGAAAAGCCGATTGTCGTTGATGAGAAAATTGAGGAGGACTCCGAGCCTTCAGAGAATGGTGAGAAGGAGAAAGAGGTCGATGATAACTTGCTCGGAATAGTACAAATCATTCAAAATGGCTATGAAAGAGCTCTGCTTGAGAACCCAGAGCAGCCAGTGCAGAGCGGTATTACTCCTAGCTTGCCAAACGAAACTCCAGTTCTTAAAATTCCGCCTAAGACGACTGTCATTATTCAGGAGGAAACTTCTGGAGGCAGTGCCGACTTATACCGAGGGACAGTTGCGACTGTCGGAGAGGATGCGGCTTTAATAGCAGAGCGTGCCCCGATGTGGCTTGGTGATCTTCTCTTAAGGGCATGTGGTCAGAATAACATTGCAGGCCAGCTTGCTGACGAGTCAAACAGAACAAAACTCCCTTGAAGGAGCCCGTTAAGGTATCCTTTGTCCTGCAACCATGGCAAGATCTTCTTCCAAGTATTGCTGGTCCAGATGGCAACTCCCGCCTGAACGCCAACAGAATGCTTCGCGTCAAGAAGATCTTGGCTTATGTCGCAGAACGAGTGGAAGCGGCGCCTGTAGAGCCTGATCCAAACGCACTACGGCCAGAGGAGTATCTCGAGCTTTACTGCTACGATCAGGTAAGCGCCATACCCCTTTACCAATCCATCTATCTAACGCGGTCCAGAAATTGCCGGTTAGCATGAGTCTCGCGACACTTCGTGCTCATATTTGGAAAGGGGGCGCGGATGTCATGCTCTTTTACAAGAGCAATGGCCGAAAGCCTATTGCTCATGAGAAGACCCCGGCTTCTTCTTCGCCTGCGGTTACAGACTTTTCATCAGGGATAGGGACGGCACCAGTATCCACTACAGCTAGCGCATAGGGATTCTGTTGGCCACATTTTCCTATTGTTGGGCTTTCCAATGATACCTACAATCCCATTAACGAAGACAAACTCGCTTCCTCAGTTTTGATAGAGAGTGATGAAACTAACATTTCAATATGATTGTATATTTGAATGATGACATGCTTGGCCCAGGTTTTCAATGTTCACGGTTCTCTTTGCGTGAAATCTCGTGCAAGACGCCCTCTTCCATCCCATGCGCCATCTATGTGCATCACTTCAAGTGTAGATATCTTCCTTTCTCGTCCCATGACTGCTGAGCACATGTTCCATGCTCGCCTGGACCGTTTTCAAATTAGCACCCCCAACTCCGCTTGGTAGATTCCTACGAATTGCCTTTCCCAGAAAGAGAGTTGTATGCCCATTGATATGACCCCAAGAAGATGGCACCTCCAGCACTGATCCATAGTACTCTCGGTCCAACTCCAGAAAAGAAAGCCCGAGGCCCATTATCCTTCAAAATCTGCTTCAGCAGCGGCACCATTGCCGTCTTCTCCTTCGCCAGCATCATCCTCGTCTTCAAGACGTCCAGCGGCGTGGTCGTCCCCGCCGCAATCGCGCCAGCCGCACTCCCAAACAACGCACTCTCGAGAGCACTGATACCGTCCTTCCCCGACGTCCGCCTCCTATACTCCTTCATCGCCTCCCACAGCGGGAACTGGATGACGGTGAACGGCACCTCCCGCATGATCGTCACCGACCACCCGCGGTACAGCTCCATCCACACGCCCGCCACCCCGATCGCGCGCTGCTGCGACAGGATCGCCCGGATGGTCAGCAGCGACGACGGGTACTGCCCAGCCTGCGTCCGCTGCTTGATGACCTCGGTCGGGACCCGCACCGCGCACGCCGCCACCTCGCCCATGCTCGCCGCAAGCATGTGCTCGATCGGCGCCGCCCAGTCGTCGTCCCCGCTCGCCCCTCCTCCTCCTCCTCCTCCTCCGCCGCCGCCGCCGCCGCCGGCGAACGCCTGCTTGGCGATTCGGCGCTGGGACAGGAAGTCCTTCGTATACTCGTAGGTGCAGAAGAAGAGGGCAGCGCCAGGCGCGGACCCCACGATGGCGCTGCCGACCCCGCGGTAGATACCGGTGAAGCCGCCCGAGGCGAGGAAGCCCGACGAGGACTGCAGCCGGGTTTTGAGCGTGTCGAGCGGGTAGAGGGAGAGGTCGACTGTGGTGCCGGCCAGGGCGCCCGCGAGCAGCGCGGTCGTGAAAGGGGGGTGGGCGCTGGCTCCTTGGGAGGACATGGCGATACTCTCGGGGGAGGGAAGGGGAGGGATCCAGATGTTTCTTCCTCTGTTTATTTCACTTCCCTGGTCTCAGGGTTGAGGCCGGAGCCGGTTGGGAGGTTGGGAGGACCCCATTTGTGAGTGACGAAGTTGAGGTCGGAGCTTGGGCTCGCTTCTGCATCTTTATTTTTTTGCACGCCTCTCCCCGCGTAGGGTAGTGACTTAAGGCACAACATATCAATCGACTTCCGTTGAACCTCTGTTCGATAAAAAAAATGGTATGAAGGCCACTCGTTTCCTTCAAAATGCCATACCTTCCAAGGTCAGTCAGATTACGGTAGAGGGGTTTGCGAATGCGGTGTTGAAGGTATGGCGGCCTTCCAACGACCCGCGTCAGACTGCTACGATTGGTGAGTGGTATATGTTATATCAATCACCATGTCCGTTCATTAATGAGAGTTTTCACTGAACCTATCCAAGGTCTGGCCATTAGCGGGGGTGTTGATTCTATGGCTCTTGCGTTCCTCTGTTCTCGCCTCAAGGAACTAAAGACGGCTGCTGCTGATCAGCCAGACCCAAAGCATGACATTCTGTCCAGCGTCAAATTTCAAGCTTTCGTAGTAGACCACGGCGTCAGGCGTGGCAGCGATCTTGAAGCGCAGGCCGTTTCCAAACTGTTGGAGAGGCAAGGTCTTTATTCCATTCCGGCACAAGGAAAACTAGACGGCTGACAAGACCAGGTATTCCTACCGATGTCTTGAAAATCCAGTGGCCAGAAGATGCCACTTTGAAGTTGAATTTCGAGTCTCTGGCTAGGAAGTACCGTTTCCGGACTTTGGGTCAAGCTTGCAGTGAGCGGGGCATTGGCTCGTTGTTCCTTGCTCATCATGAGGATGACCAGGCGGAGACGGTCATGATGAGGTTGGTAGCCGGGCATCGTTCGAAAGGCCTGATGGGTATCAAGGAGCATTCGGAGATTCCAGAGTGTTACGGCATTCATGGTGTTCACGAGAGCGGTGGCATTGACGACCCCAGAATGAGGTGGTCCGAAGGGCCACCAGCGTCAGCTCCAGAAGTCGAAGATCATGAGCGAGGAACTCTCGCTTCAAGACCACAGCTACTGACTGAAAATGGTGGTGTCCGAGTCTACAGACCATTACTCGCTTTCAGCAAGCAACAGCTCACAGCTACGTGCCAAGGGAATAGTGTCGAGTGGTTCGAGGATCACACCAACAGAGATCAGACACTCACAAAGAGGAACGCCATCAGACACATGTTCGCGACGCATTCCCTCCCATCCGCCCTCACCAAGCCCTCTCTCCTCTCCCTCTCCCTCAAGATAAGGGCCAAGGAAACCCAACGACAAGCGACCATCACCTCCCTCCTCACCCAATGCAAGATCACACATCTGGACTTGCGCACAGGCACAGCCAAAGTCCAGTTCCCCGACCTGAGCCTTTCCACCCACCCACAAGCCACCTCCGGTCAAACGGCCGCGGAGCTTCTGAAGCGGATCGCGATGCTCGTCTCGCCCGAGCAGCACATCGAGCTCTCATCCCTCCACGGCGCCGTCGCGCACCTCTTCCCTGAGCTCCTCCCGGGCGCTACCAGACCGCCGCCCGCGACGCCAGTGGCACCACCACCCGCCTTCACCGTCTGCGGCGTCTACTTCCAGCGCGTCGGGGCCACGACGGTTTCTGGAGGCGAAGCTACTCGTAAACCTCGATGGCTCGTCTCGCGACAGCCTTACCCCTCGAGAGCCAAGGAAAAGGACGCGAGGAGGTACCACGTCAAGTTCCCCCCCGCGGACGGCGGCGTCTGGTCGCCGTGGAGGCTGTGGGACGGCCGGTATTGGATCCGCGTGCAGAATCGTAGCAGCAGGACGCTGCTTGTTCGTCCTTTGCTGCCGTCGGAGTGGCCGGATGTTGCGCTTCGTCTTGGTGATGATCACTCGGCGAGGGTGAAGAGGATTTGTAGAGAGAAGGCAACTGGTGCTAGATGGACTGTGCTTGCTGTTGTGGCTCGACTGCATGACGGGAGGGAGGTGGTGGTGGCTCTGCCCACCTTCGGGCTGGATCTGAACCTGTATGCTATCGAGGGTTGGGATTCTGTCAAGTGGGAGATCCGGTATAAGAAGATAGATATCGCAGGCCTGCGCATCAGTGACGAAAAAGGTGAGGTAGAATAGCCAGGTTCACAGTCCAGATTACGTAGATGATCAAAAAGACGTAAAGGGAAGGAAGCAGAAGGAACAAAATGCTGCAAGTCAAATTCCGTCACTCAGATTCTTTGGTGCATGATGTCTACCTATCCTTGTGCCTGCATTTTGCGGCTACAATATCGAAGTCCACTCCTCCCTGTACTGTAGCGTAAGCCTGGCCAAGTCTGGGTATCCTTAACTCCGAAATCTGAAAGCAAATAGTAACGCCATAGATGCAGCCCGCCTCTGCGATGCCAGTAAAAAGCAATATACAAAGCAAACGCGGTCTTTCAAGATATAGCCAGCCAATTGGTCATCAACTCAATAGAATCTGATATCGCCCAGCGAGGCTTACCAGTCAAAAAATCGAATGTGCCGAGTGTTTGAGTGGAGGGAAACCCAAGTTATGCGAATCATTCCTGGGGTGAGTCCATGATTCTTTCCTGGGAACGATTCACTTCAAATGAAGTGCCGTCTTTGCGTTTTCGTAGACCACATAAGTGATACTAACAGCAGGAACGACCTTGAGTAGATTGGGAGTGAGACCCTTGAATAGCCCCTTGACGCCTTCGTTCTGTACAGTTTTCCGAGCGACGTCGAAAATGCCAGTGTAGGTTGGAGGGTGTAGAACAGTTCCTTGAGCCTGAAGTCTTGTTCGAAGGAGGTTAACCGGGTATACGATGCTGGCACCGAAAGCGCCGGAGAAAGCTCCGATGCATCCTGTAGCAAATGAGCCTGGCAGTGCATCATCTTCGTGGCAGCCCAGGATTCTGGCGTTGCGTTGGGCAAGCTTTCCTTTCAGGTATTCGAAGGTTCCAAGATCGATTGCAGAGTAGGGGAACATTCCGATCAGGCCCATGGTCAATCCTCGATACGAAGACTTGATGACGCCTTGCTGGTACATTTTCTTTGCCGTAGCAATGATGAGCTTGTTTCCATGCAGACCACCCGATGTTGTTTCGCACTGCATACGAAATTTGAGTGTGTCTAGTGGATATACAAAGAGCCTGAGACCCTGTTAATCGCCGTCTTTATAGAAGCCCGTTGAGAACTCACTGTGATATCATGCCACCAACTCCACCAGCCACAAACTTGGAATAAGGGTTGATTTTCTTCGGATCGTTGTGACCTTCAACGTGCGCCAGAACCCTCTTTGCAAACTCGTAAGAACCGAACTTGATTGCAGATTCAGGCATGACTTTGATTACGTTTAGTCCGTTGCCTAAGGAAAAAGGTCAGTAACAATAGAATGTGGCTCATTTAGCGACTAGCTTACCTGCAAACAAGCTTCGAATTCCACCAGCCTTCCATAGCTCCTTCGAGGCATCAACAAGCGGTCGGCCCATAGACTTGGCCACGCCAACGGCATCGCCTTTCTTGACAGCATCAAGAGATTCCTTTGCTGGACTAACATTGGCAATGAGATAGACCTTCAGACGATCTAGAGGGGCAGTGGATGTTCTAGAGATCACACCAGCAACAGCGCCAGCCGCGAAGTAGCCTGGATCGGGCAGAAGGTCCGTCAGCAATAATTTCTTCTTGACGGGCGCAGCTTCATCCGGACAAGTTCCAGGTGCTTCATCACTTTGGTCGAACATGGTGAGGTATTTGTCGGTGGTTGGTAGAGATCGTTGAACTTCGTCAGAGGTAGACGCCATGCTTCCTGTCAAGATAGCTTCTGATTGGGCTAGGCCCGAAAGAGGTTGTTTCTGTGATAGTGAATCCTGGAGAGGCGATTTTGAAGGTGATTGCACGATTCTTACAAGAGCCCCGAAAAAGACAGACAGGGACGAAAATCGAGATGTTCTATCCATACCTAATCCCTCAAGAGTTTCTTCGCTGATAGAAGTGTCTCCTTCGGCGTTTATTGTCACAGCAGAAGAGTAGTATGTCATGACAGCCTTGAGGCCAGGGTTGATGTTGGTGGGCAGGAATAGTAGGAAGTTGCTGAAATTATATCAGTTTTTGTGCGTTACCCTATGTCATAGGAGATCGAATCTAGTGGGCTAGGACTGAGTGTGGATGTTTGGATGGGGCGAGCTGCTAAACACAATTATGCAGAGGGGGCAGCTTACCGCCATTCATCGAAGGATATGTAGCCCTAAATGATGTCAGCAATAGTAAGATACGCCAGAGAGATAGGGAACGGACATCGTGATTTTCGTCGACCTCACTGAAGAATTGGTCTATCTTTGAGTTCGGCACCGTGAGTCCAGCTCTTTTGAAACCATCTCTCAGCTCGCCCTTGTCAAGCTTGCCATCTCCGTCGTGATCGATCGACTGGAACAGGGCGCGAAGCTCCTTTTCGGTTTGTTCAACGAATGTGCGGAATTCTGGGGAGATCGAGTGTTAGTAAACCTACTAAAGAGGGAGGGTTCGAGAGCTCCATAAAAACGCAACAGCGCAAAGTTGAAGAACATACCCTCGTATTGAATTACTTTGTCTCCATCTTTGTCCATAGCCTTGATGATATCCTTAAGCATATCATTTGCGTTCTTCAGGGCTGCGAAGCTTGTCAGTATCTTACCACCGGGTCGATAAGGGGGCACACCCACGGTGATCGATCTTATTAAGTCCTCTCTTCAGGCCATTAAGATCCAGGAAGCCTTTGTTCTGCGGATCCAGCTTCTTCCACAGCTTCTCGATGCGCGCATCCCGCGAGTTCTGGCTCTCAGGTAGCTCCATGGTGGGTTGAGCTCTGGGTCGCGGGCGTTATCAATGACCGCTCATGGCTGATGGGAGACTGGCCGAGCAATTGAAAGTCTGACGCAGACGTTGATCATTGAAACGAAGGGATAGACATCACTATGGACTGCTGGTGCTGTCTAGATCGCAGCTTCTCGGGTTTGAAAGTGAATTTGAAAGTGAATGTCGTGTTGACCGAGATGATTCTGCACAAGCAAGGACGTGGGGCCCGAGTCGCTTCTACTTTCAGCCTCGTGCTAGCCTCGGAGACGGTGCAATCCATAGCTTGACATCCGATTACCCAACACTATGTGATGATTGGGAGATAATATTCACGAAGTATCACAAACTCAAGATTTCTCGGGCGTCCGGCTGACATCAAATCTGGTTTTCCCAGCTCCTTGTGATAAGTAAGGCATTAACCATATGTTCTTGAGAAGCATTAAAAGTTGACTTGAAGAAGCAAAAGCGGAGCTGCCCATATATATATACTTGCTCCTCTGCCAGAGGCTCTCAAGATGGCTGCGAACTACTGGGAATCAACGCAACGGCGCCACTGGCAATTCACTCGGCAGCAGCTGGAGGAGTTGCGCCAGCAACTAGAAGACGAGGACCCAAATCTGGTCAAGATGTATCCTCTGCCAGAAGTGAGGCACCAGAGCATATACTTCAACCAGCGTAAGTCTCTCCAAGCTCAACGATTTGCCAGATTGACTAACCAACAGTTGTTTGAACAGAGGTAGCTCGCCTTGGGAAGCGCTTGGGCTTACGCCAGCAGGCCATGGCCACAGCCCAGCTCTACATACGAAGATTCTACTCGAAGGTCGAGATTAGAAGAACAAACCCATACTTGGTGATAGCTACTGCTGTCTACCTAGCTTGCAAGATGGAGGAGTCCCCACATCATATCAGACTGGTCGTTGCTGAGGGTCGAGCCTTATGGACAGGTGCCTGCGGCATCCAACTATCGCGCCCACAAGGCTAACGATTCTTGCAGATTTCTTCGCCAACGATACTTCGAAGCTAGGAGAGTGCGAATTCTTCCTGATATCCGAGATGAGCTGTCAGATGATTGTCCATCACCCGTACAGGAGTCTTACGTCGCTGCAGAGCATCTTCTCCCTTACTCAGGAAGAATCCAACCTTGCTTGGTCCATCATAAACGACCACTACATGACCGATTTGCCTCTGCTCTTCCCTCCGCACATAATTGCAATCATGTCCATTCTGCTGGCTTTGGTGCTTCGCCCAAATCAAAGTGGGGTACAATCTGCAAGTGGCTCTGCTGGAAGCATGGCCAGCGTGGCTCATGCAGCACTCAGCTCCGCAGGCCAATTAAAAAGCGGCAATGAAAAGCAAGGGGGTCCCCGAACAAAAGTACAGAAGCTCGCAAGTTGGCTAGCTGAAAGCAATATCGATATCGAAGCTGTGGTCGATTGCACGCAAGAAATCATATCATTCTACGAGACGCAAGAGCAGTACAATGAAAAGCTTACAAGAGAGCAGATCAATCGGTTTGTCAAAGCGCGCGGATTAGACAAATGAACAGCATGGAAGGGAGTACCAAAAACTCTGTGTCAGAGTACTCAAGCAATCGGGAAAAGAAGAAAGAAGCAAGATTGGATAATGGTTTGAGAAGACAAAGCCACTCACGGTTTGTCGGGATCCTGGTATATTGACAGATGAATCCGTAAGTAAGCAGAGCATTATATGCGACCATGCCCTCCGTGAATGTTGAGCTAACATGGCGCACAGGCTGTTCTCAGTTTCGAGGTATGTAATTGCTTGTAACAAGCGTTTTTGTAAATGGAAATGGGGGCCAGAAGCTCCAAGGCAACCTTTATTGTGTCCCTCAAGCAACCCTTATTGTGTCCCTCGGCTTGCTGGTAGATATCGCCTTGCGATATGCGACTTGGGGGAAGCACGAAAGTGGCAGCAGTGCGCCGTGGAGCTATTATGAGGAGGATACATCTCGAGTCCTAGACCTACACTGTCGTCAGTCTCTGGAGAAACGTCGAGGACCCTATGAGGAGAGCTCGAGGAGAGAAATGCTAAAGGTATGAAGCATCACAATGCCCACGCTGATCTTTCCCACATACCTGCATATCACCAGAGCTCTGAAGAGCGAGGCGTCAGGAGCCCTGCCGCAGCAGCCGTCGAAGCTTGGTCCAGTACAGCTTGGTGGGCTCCAGTGAGCCTACAGACCAGTGAAGTATGTGTCGTTACTCCGTGCGGCTGTGGTGGATTTTGCCGACAAAGTGTTCTTGGTGTGCAAAGGAAAGATGGGGGAGGGAAGTAGTGTCTGGAGAGGGAAAGAAGTCAGACCCCGTGATGGATGGATCTTTCGTGAGCACGAAGGTTGCGAGAATCGAAATCTCAAACTGCTACTATCATCTGGTATTCACCCTAGTGGCCTTACCTTGCTTTCGACTTTGTTTCCCGTTCTTGTATGATATTCTTTGGTATGGATTAGTGCTTCTGTTTCTGCTTCCTCGAGGTTGGTATCAGTGGGATCCTTCGAGGTATGTCGAAACCTCTGACAGCTTCTTTATATACTGCTTCCAATGGCTATTCACATGAGATAAGGCGATCACAAATTACTAGTACATCAAGGCTGCATCGCTACGGTACGCTTCTAATTTAAAGCCGCTTTACATCTCTTTCTCACAAGAGACACGAGTTAATGTCACATGAGTGGATGCCCGTCTCTTCCTCCTAATCAGATTCGACATCACAAAGCAGTTTCTGTCTGGCTTAGAATCAAGACCATACTGGAAAGATGACTTGATTCTTTGGCCGCCAGCGGGGCGGAGTTGCCCATGAATGGAAGAGCGAATGAAATATCTAGCGGAAGCATGCCCTGGATTTGAGCCTCCATAAACCCCGGATCGTCAGGGAAAGAAGAAAGGATGGGGATCGCCATCTATGGAAAGAAGCAAATGTAGGTGCCACATCCGCTCGGGAACATCCATCAAATCATATCGCACCCGTCAACCGACACCGACAGCTTGGGGACAGGTCGCAAGGTGCTTGCTCCAGGGATTTTCATGGGCGCGGTGTTGGGTTGAAATGAAATTGAGGTCACGAGGAGGATTGATTCACGAAGATACCAGCCGCCTCTCTCTTAGCGATAATCATCTCAAGACTTGCTCTCTCGCGAAGTAAAATCCACAGACAGCCTCCCCACCGGTCGCATCGAGCTCCCTCTGTCCAGACTCTGTCCAGAGTAAACAAAAGTAACTGAACTCTCGCGGCTTGCTCGGTTGTGAGAGCTGTCGACTCGCCTGGCCTCGCTCCGGAGACAAGTCACCGGAGGCCAGGCATTGTTGATTGTTGACTATCGTGCCGAACGATCATTCGCTGGACACGGTCTCAATTCCCTCCTCAGCGCAAGCAGAAACTCTCTCCTGCAGCTGCACATGGCGGTGAGGGCCGTGTTACAGCGAGGCGCCATGCACGCTGGGTGGCCGCCCCGGCTGATCTGGAACAGCGTCGCGGTGTCCAAGCTGCAGGGCTGGAGACGCCGGACGGCGGACGGCGGACGGAGGGGTCCAAGAATCTGAGAATGGTGGTTGATTTGATGATGGTGGCTTGCTTGCTGGTCAGAGCCGGATGAACCTTTGCCACTGCCACTGGACGCTGCTGACTGCAAGTTTCCTACCGAGCATAAAGCACACCATCTGCTTATCTCGGTCCGGATACTGCTAGCATCTACTTAGTAGTAGTAGTAGTAGTACTACCGTAGCATACAGAAGTACGTAGTAGTAGTAGTAGTAGTAGTAGTAGTAGTATCAGATAGAAAGCATTAAGCTACAGATTAAAATAAATATTCCATGCTGCGCCGAGGGTGGAAGACCCGAGTAGGGTCGGTACTCATTCTATAGCGTCGGGTCGAGCACACCATCCATACACCTCCGTACTTTACATAACACTAGGTACCGGTACCTAGTAGTACCTCTACGAAGGGACATGGCTGGCAGGGCCCAGTGCAGTGCAGGTCCCGGGCAGGTCCAGGGCAGTCCTAGTGGTCCCAGTGGTCCAGTACCTAGTCCCAGTGGTGCCAGTATTCCCAGTGGTCCCAGTGGTCCCAGTGGTCCCAGTGGTCCAAGTTCCAACAGTCCAACAGTCCAACAGTCCAACAGGCAGCTAGTGCCGACAGCAACAAGGATAGGGCACAGTGCAGCAGATACCGGAGATGGCATCTTTATGCGGGGGGACCCTCCGTATTACGGGACAGCTACGGTACTCCGTAGAGTACTCGGTAGGTATCGGGGGCGGTTGATGGCGCCAACCAAAATACTACTACTTAATACAGTACTACTGCTACTGCAAACACAGTGGATAGGATCAGCTGCCGGGAAAGCCAGGGCGTCTGGTTGGTTTGAACTTCAAGGGGGGGGCGAAAGTCGTGCGAGGTGGAGTGTGTATGGGATGGGGATAGGGCTCATGGGGACTGGATAGGATTGGTGCTCAGGAGTGCGCAGGAGTCTCACAGTCTTTGTACGCGGTACATCTCAGCACCTCGGCCATGGCGAGTGGGATGGCAACATTGCCATCCCACTCGCCATGGATGGCGGCATGCAGGCCAGCCCTCGGCGAGGGTATAGAGTTTGACACTGTCAGCGATCACGATTGAAAGGATCGAGAGTGTAGGTACGTAAGAGAACAGGTCAGAGGAGAGAACGAGCAGCACTGAATGGAATACCATTCCCCGAAACGAAACAGATCTTGTATTACCACCAATGTCTCTTTTTGCACGTCCACAATGATAAGGACGACGACGACGACAACAACCACAGCAGCAGCAGCAGCAGCAACAACAACAACAATAACAAAGACCAAACAGCCCCTCGACTCGACTCGGGCTCGTGAGTGGTCTTCATTAGCCTTCATTCCCAGTCCCATACCGTACTCCCATGCCGTCTCCACAGCGCTACGCCACCCTCCTTTCTACTCTTGGAAATTGGGTTATACTCTAGTCCTAATATGGCAAAGCGTTCAGCTCAGGCCGTTACCCGCCTTCGCTCTAGTCAACATCTCCTCATTTTCTTCAACCCCCCCCCCCCCCATCCTCATTCTCCCACAATCCTTCATCAATCCCCCAACTCAATCTCTGGATATCCCACCTTACAAACCACCGCATAGTAATACTCCATCCTCCCGTCTTCACATCAACGACCTGTTTATCATCTTCAACAACTCCCATCACAACTCTTCTAGACTCCTACTCACAGTCTCCGGTCGCAATATCCCGTTCTCGATCAAACCCAACACTCCAACTCCACCCCACCCTCACGTCGACTTTCCATAGATTAATGAGCCGGTAACATGTCGTCCTTCTACAACAACTACGCACACCACCAACCTACCGCTGCCACTGTGCAACCTGCCTCTTCCTCTCATCACAGCGGGCGTGGCCGTAGAGCTCCTCGTCTTTCGCAGAATGCACACAAGCAGTTTCGAGGACCCAGAAAGGACGAAGAGGCGGCTGTGGTGACGAGCTTCCGTCAACGCTTCGAGGCTGGACGCTCCTTTGACCTCGACGACGACATGGAGTTCTGTCCTAACCTCCTCACCGAGAGCGATATGGTCTCCATCCATTCCTCCTCATCGGACCGCTCTTCGCTGGCCAGTGGATCACCAGAATCCAGCCCCCAATCGCACCAGGTAGCGCCGGACTCGTCCTTCACTCTCAACTCCAACGCCAGCCCCTACATATCGTCCTACCAAAGTCAGCCTACTCCTCTCAAACTTCACCAACCTGCTGCCACTCGGGTTCGCAGCGCTATCCCGATCGTCAACCCGAATACCGGCCTGTCGATGTCCAGCCCACCAGCTTCCGTTTCGCCCGTCAGGATGCAACAGCACCTAAGACAACAGCAACAACAACAACAACGCGCATGGTAGATTGTCAGCTCTGTCTCCCGGACTGCGGCAATGCTGATCTTGCCACCATCGCATTAATTGTTTTCGCATTCTTGTCATCTATCTTCCCTGGCGGGCACCCTCCCTGGCATCGATAGTCATCCGGTTACGGTACTTTCCCCTCAACGAATCCTTTGTACAAATTCTTCCTCTCGACTCATCACCAATTCTTGAGACAGTAGCGGCCCAACGACCGATCTCGATACCACTGTTCAAGTAGGAGATGGTGATCCCATTCCATAATGATGGCTTGATTCCGAGCGTGCATTGCATATTTTTGTGACGGTGTTTAGGGCTGCATTGCTCGGATTGGGTTACTGAAGCGGCGACTTCAATGGGTGTTATGAAAAAGACATATTCGAGCTGCATAGAACGATTTCCTTTCCTGCTTGAAGAAGGGCGGGTGTTACCTTTGTTTTACGGATACCTTGTACGGATGAGAAAGATCTCACTCTGTCTTTTCGTTTCTGGTTTATCAATTAGGCGGGCTCGGTGTCGTGGGATGAACAAAGGTTGCGTTTCCTTGTATGAATGAGCGCTTCAGGTGTTGTGTCGTTGGTATTTTTGGAAACCTGGGTATTGGGCTCTCTGAGCGGGTTAAGCTGGTGGTGTACTTTTCGGAGATCGATCATGTCATATCATATGGATGGGGGTTTGCTGATGATGATATGCGGTCCCAGCCTGGGTTTGAGTCGTGTCAACACCTCTGAAATATATTGGTTTCCTGCTCCTACTCTCTAAGCTTCATATTTGCAGTCGGGCCGCCACAGTTCATAATGTATTTATTAAGAAAATGGAACGAGAGGGAAGTATTGCGAGCATGGTACAAGACTTGATCCCCGCTACACTGACTGCGGCGGAGAGCGCCTGGTCGTTCCAACCACGAAGGACTCCAGCAATTGGGCAAAGTAACGCAGCTCCCCTCCCTACTCGACCCCTCGAGCGCCCACCCGTAGACGCCACGCAGTCGTAGCGCCCTACCCTACCTACCAACCTACCCTACCCTACCTACCCTACCCTACCCTACCCCACGGCCCCCTCAGTTAAGAATAGTTCAGAATAGCAGGAGTCATCAATCAATCAATCAACCTTACAATCAATCCGTCGAGGGCCCCCCCCCCAAGGTGTTCCAGCCAGTCAGTCAGCCAGTCAGTCAGTTCCCCACGCGGCGAGATACCAAGCGAGATTCCTCCTGATTTGATACGGGGACGGATTTCTTTCGGGCGTGATGCGTGATGCGGGGTTGATGGGATGGGTTGGGGGGGGGGGGGTTNAGAGAGGGATTAAGAAGTT